TGACAGGCACCAGGCTGGGATTCTCCATGCCAGCCCCAGTGACGGCTCTGATGCACCCCCTCTTCCTCTGCCAGCCCCAGCTCTCCAGACCAGGAGGCAGCAGCAGAGTGCAAGGGGCAGCTTGGGGACACACCACTGCACAGACTGGTGCAGGGAGTCAGCACAGGGGAACACAAATCTCTTGTGGAAAGCAGTGCAGTCGTTTCCTGGAGAGCAAGGGGGTTTGAAACAGGAATAAATTATTTAATAGGCAACCAAATCCTGCCTCTACGGGCCGCAGACAGGCACAGCCCCGTGAGCATCCCAGCAGCAGCACAGACCCAGAGCTGCGGCCCATCTCATCAACTCCAGCCCATGACAGGGTCATGCACTTCATTGACATAGCTGAGCTTCTCCTCCTCTAATTAAATCAGGATTTGCTTCCACAGTTTCTCTTGCCCTCTCACTGCCTAGTAATTGAGAGTTGGCTGCAATCAGAAAACTCAACAGAAAACTTCCCCAACTTTCCCAGACCACTTATGCTATATTTTGCCTTTCACTCCATCGCTTCTACAACCAAGTGTCAGCAACCCCAACGCGAGCACAGGGGGGCCAGCTCAGGCAGGTAAAGTGGACCTGATCTCAGGCGTGTCATGGACAAATGCTGCCTTCATCTGAGGGGGTTCAGAGATCCAGAGAGGAGCTGGCACAGCGACACTGTGCTGAGGACTCAGTGGTCTGGGTCCAGGCTGAGTGGAAGTGGCAAGCACAGGATCTCCCAGCCTAGGAGCTGCAGGGCACCAGGCCTCACTGAGTCTCAGCACGTAAGGTGTTGCCACAGGGAGCAAAGCCACAAGCCACATCGAAGTAGCACCTACCCCACAGCGGGCACTTCCATGTCCAAGTCCCACAGCCTTCATCTCTGGCCGCACACGCAGCCTCGGCCCATCCCAACACACATGCTCATGCCTCCCAGGGAGGGCAAGAACAGGGAGGGCAGACATGAGAATAACCCCCACTAGGGCCACATGGTCCAAGACCCTGCCTTTGGTGTCAGCCACTGGTGCTGCCACCAGAAGGACAAGAGCACGGTGAGCAGGAACTCTTGGTTCCAGCACCGCTTCACGCCCACAGAAGCAGCGTCCAGGAGTCATGTGGTGAGGCAAGCCAGGCAGGCTGTGATGAGGACCACACTCTGGGTTGTCCACAAGGATGTCTCCAGTGCCATTCAGTGGCACTCATTTCCGACCAGTCCTGGGGAGGACAGCTGCAGAGGAGCAGAGGGGAAGAGGGGAGAGAGCTCTGCAGCAGGCTCACGCCTTCGACATGTGCTGTGCACAGCCTCGCCAGACCGCAGGATCTGGCGCACTAAACGTGTGGAAGCAACACTTCTCTGTGTCTCACTTTACAAAGCCCCAAACAATAACTGTCTGTCGCTGCACAGGAGCTTAGGAGAAACATAAGTTGCTATTGGCATGGCACGCAGCAGCCGTCCTCTTACACAACACCAGCAGATGTGAAAATAGCCCGGTGCTGCCTTGTGCGCTCCTTTGACCTCTTGTTTGCTTCTGGATCAGATTCCAAAGCTGGATCTTAACCTACAAAAGCCATAAAAGCAAAGGATTTAGCCCTATCAGAGACCTCTTCATAATCTAAGACAGATGCACTTGGTGTAGAAGAACGCGCCAAGCTTTATCAGGGCAGGGAAGAGGCTGAGGCAGCGTCAGTCTCCGCTTTATGGCATGGCCAGGGCAGCCGTGTCAGCATCACCCCACGCTCCAGCTGATGATGCGCTAGAGATGTCCCTGGGGAAGAAGAGCTGGAAGCTTTCACAAACCAGGGCAGCACCCAAAACCTCACACCCTACTGCTCAGCCTATGCCAAAGCTGCCTCCAGCCGCCACCTGCCCCGGCAATGGGGGACCTCTGAGCTCCTGAGGTTCTACGTCACTGACCCCAACATCCTAAGGGCCATCAGGACTGTCAGAGCCAGCACAACATGGAAGATCCTCTCCATCCACACAAGGGGCTCCCAGGATTTCTCACCTGTATGAAGAGAGGGCACTGACTCCAGAGCTAAACCCAAAATGGCTTTGGGACATAGCAGAGGGAAAAAGTACATGGAGGACAAATTGCTCCTGGAAGCATGAAAGAGCAGCGGGAGAATTAAACTGAAGGATGCTAAAGACAAGCAACAGAGGGAGAGTTTAGTAACCAGCAGCATCCCTAAGAACAACCTGCATGAATAAATGAATCCCTCCAGTGCCCACAAGGATATGCAGTGTCCCTGCTGCCTTTGAGACTTCAGCAACCCTGAGCAGCAGAGGAACCTCCCAAGAGGCAAGAGAAGAAAACAAGATGGGGAAAGGGATGGGAGAAGGAGCTTCCCACCTCACATCCTGCAAGGTGCAGTGCTGCTGTGCTGGCACACAGCTGCCAGCACCCATGTGCTGCGCTCCAGCAGCGCTCCCCTCTGACCCATCACGCGCTGTTCCCAGTGTCCCTTGCTGGAAATGTCACCTGGCAGCAAAGCCCCACATGAGTCTGACTCATCCAGGTATCTAAGTCCAGCTCCTGAAAACTCCCATCCCTCCAATCTCCCCACCATCCAGGCTGGGGCACACCTCTTCAGTGCTGCCACAAGTCCCCCATGGGTGATGCTGCACTCAATAGGGTCACCTATGGGCAGCTGCAAAGGGGGCTCAGGGTCTACGAGAAAGCTTTAAGCCAGCAGCTGATCTACCACAGCACCTAACTGTAAAGCACTGCACCCTTTGTACATGAGCAACTAACAGAAGATACAAAATACCCGAGCTGTGGTGTTTTGCCCCAGAATCCCTCCAGCCCCAACGCAAGCTGGAGGGATTTTTACCTTTGCACGCAGAGCTGCAGGGTACCAGGCAGCAGCAGAGGAGCATCAGTCTAAGACTAACACGGGGACGACCCGCTGATCACGGCTTGCACGGAAGGGCGAAAGGCAGCCTTAGAATATAATCCATTTCAGGCAGTCTTAAATCTCCCCAATACAACACAGAGCCCTTTAACCAAAACTAAACAACTTCCTTTAGCCTAAATAAATATTAAACTTAAGCGATGCATTAATTTACTCCAGTTCACCAAAGGCTAACTCCTACCCAAACTGATCATTATAAAAGAAATCCTATAATCCCTCTCTCCCATTCAGGCTCAAAACATATAATCCCGTGAATAAATCTAGAAAGAAAGTGTAACAAAATGGGCAATAAAAACTTACAGCATTCACATCTTTTCATCTACCATTAATACTGTAAACACTCACTCGAAGGCTCTTGAGTATGACTAATCTAATGTTTTGGCTCCCAATGCTAATCGCCGAAAGAGCTCGCCTCTCAGCGCAACACCCGGCAAGCCCCACCACTGCCCAGGACACCACAGCAAATCCTCGCCTCAAATCCCGCAAAATGCTGCAAAATCAGCACAAAACGGAGCAAGTATGGTTCTAATAGCACCAGAGCGCACGGTTTTTTTGGTTTTTTTTTTATTATTATTTTATTGCTTTGGAAGGCTGCAAGCTCCAACTGTATAAATGCCAATAACTTCCCAAGTTTTAAGGCTGCTGAAGTAAGAGATCAGATTTTAGCAAGTGCTTTCCAGGCAGCCAGCCAAACTTTTTCTGATTCACTAAAAGCACCAAAGGGAAGGGGGAGAGGGAGGGGGCTGGAGGGCTGATTAACTTCAGTTACCGCACAAGCACAAAAAAATGTCTCCCCACTGCAAAGGGTGCCGTCGCTGCGAGCCCTGCGCAGCCTGTTATTCCTTGGGCTTGAGGAAAAGAAAAACTGCACTGGAGAAATACAGCAAACGCCTTCCAACCGCAGGGTAATTTACAGCTGTGGATCCTTTCCTGACGAGGAGGCTGCTCCACTGAGGGGAGGCTCTGCTGGTATTAGGTTCAAGCTGCAGTTTTCAGAGGGGATGAGAAAAAAATGTGACCTGGGATACTTTATTTTTTTTAGGGGGGTTGGGGAAACAGGGAATGGGGCTGGTTGGGGTTTTAGCTTGTCCGGAGGGATGGAGCCCTCTCCAAGGCTGTGGCTGTACTCATCCAGGACCATCCCTCGCTGCCATCAGGTACCTGTGAGGACAAGCAGGTGCAATCCCAGCCAAAGCATGGTGCGGGGAAAGGGGGTGGCACGAGCGGCCCCCAGCATCATCAGGACGGTGGCATGGAGCCCCCAGGGCAGTGGCACCTGCTCTGTCCAGCCCCACAGGTGGGTCTGCTCCAGAATGCCCAGCCAAAATCCCTGTCCTGGGGAGGTGCGCGGTGCTGGGGCTGTCGGGGGGGCAGTGGCCATCGGCACCCCCAGCCACCATCCCCGTCCAGCGGGCGCCTGGGCTGCAGAGCCTCGCCGCTCGGGGTGTTCCTCCAATGGCTCCATTCCTGCCGAGGCAGGATCAAAGGAAGGATCTGACTTGGACGGCTTTCTACTGAATAATGGGGAGGGAGCAGGCAGCCTCCTTCTCCTGGCTACGGAAACTCATGTTTTTCAAAGTATCAGTTTTGGGGAGTAAGTTCCCTAAGAGGGTAAAAAAAAAAGCAGGGAAAAAAAGAGGGTGAGCAGGAGAGTGCCTACTCTTTCCAAGGCAAGTGCATCAATCAACATTGTGCAAGGAGGAGAGTCCAGCACTCCCTCTCACATCATTAGCCAGCCTAATGCGCTCCAGAGTATCCCGCTCCAGCGGGGCTACCGGAGCACCCGCCTGCACCCCAGCCCGCACCAGGCGCCCTAGCACCCACAGCGGCCTTGCCTTGGCACCAGTGGTCATAGAAAAGGAGCGCAGGGAGAGGGGCAGCCCCTTTTCCAGGGCAGGTGACACTCCAGCATCTGGCACAGGGATCGGTTTAATACGGCTATAAAAACTAGAGAAGGTGGGGGGGGAAGTGAAAGCCCTAGCCAAAATTGCCTGGCACTGCGAGGTCAGCACGCCACCTTTGTTTCTATTTTACAACCAAAAGCAAAAGAGGACAGAAAGGACACGTACCTGTACCTGAAAGCACAGCAGCAGGAAATGTAAACATCTGGAGAGGAGAAAAAAAAAAGCAACAAAAGATCAAATGATGCGGTAAAATGGTTAAAGTTGATTTTTTTTTCTTTGTTTTTATTTGCGATTTTTTTAAAGGGCACAGAGCGATGCTCTGCTTATAAAAAGGCTCGGTTCCCGACTACCACCTGATTGCAAGGAAAATGCAACCGGAGCCTCCAAAATGAAACTTTTTAAAAAAATAAAAACAATAACAAAAATTTTAAAAATAATGAAAAAAAAATGCCATAATCCTTACAGGCAAGTGCAGGCTGAAAGCAGTGAATACATCGCTGGGCGAGGAGAGGGGGGCGGTCAGTGGCTTCCCGCTAGCGCAGTGCAGTCCCCCACCGCCGCCCTGACATGGG